TTTTTTTGCTATATTTTTTTTGTACTTATATTTATTATGTTTTTTTTTTTTTTAATTTTTTTTTTTTTTCACGTTGGTAATTTGCACAAATCATTTATGTTTAAAACGTTTATATTTTTAAAAATATTTATATATACATCTTTTTTATTTTTTTTATTTGTAAATGATACATATATTTGCCTTTTTATATTTGTTAAAAAAGTAAGTGTTTTTTAAATAATATAAATTAAAATTTTTTATGTAATGATATATATATAAAAAAAAAACATCAAAAACAATACTTCTAATACTATGATTGGGGAAAAAAATATACATTTTTGTATAATATATAAATATGTTAAAAAAAAAACATAAAATTAATATATAAGCTCCCAATTTACATGCACAAAAAATTGCCATACTTAAAAAGTAAGCCATAATTTTAACATTAAATATATACTATATATATACATTTTTATTTTTTTTTTTTAATATATAATAAACTCCTTAAAAATCACAAAAAGCAAGCAAATATTATGTAATTTTTTTTTTTCTTATTTTTCTCAGTTTTAAAAAATTTTTCTTTTTTCGTTATTTTTATATATATATATATATATATATATATATATACTGATTTAAAAAAAAATGGATTTAATTTTTCTGAAAAGAACATAATTATAAAATAGAATATTAATTTAAAAGAAAATTTAATCATTGAAGTATTTTTTCGTATTGAATATTTATATGTAATGCATTTTATATGTTCATAAATGAATATAAATAAACTACAAAAAGAAAAATAAAAAAAAATGAATATATAATTTACATTAAAATATATTTATACATTTAAGAAGTTTCAATTTTACAAAAAATAAATAAAATAGATCATTTATTTTATATTCCTTAATAATTTAAAAATATATATATATATATCTACATATATATATATATATATATATGTAAAAACAAAATTGTATGTTTTGTAGTTCTTTTTTATTATTTTTTTTTTTTTTTCTTATTCTTTTAAGAATCTACTTTATGAATAAGTGTAAAACTAACATTAAATAAATGTTTTTTGAAAATACACATCTTTGTTTAGTTATATAAATAAATTAATTCATATATTTATATATTTAAAAGGATTTCATATACAATTATATCTTGTTGGTCATATGATATTTGTCTATCATAGGAAAAACACATAAATATTATTAAACAAATTAAATAAAAACGGATAGGTTATAATTAAAATAATTTAAAAATATACATATTCAAATCAGAATAAATAAAGATGATAAATAATAAAATAGGTATAATAAAATTGAATACATTATTTAAATTTGATTCAAAAAATGTACTATTTTAATTAATTATATTGATTTATTTTTATATTTATTTTTAAGCATATATATATTTATATATATATATACTATTACAAGAAAATATGAACAGTATTATATTAAGAACTATACAAATAATGTGAAATTCTTTTTTTTTAAGAAAATGAAAACTTTATATTTAATTTATATATGAATATGTTATTCGCTAAAAATTATATAACCTGTACTTTGTTATGAATATTTTATATAGATATTATTATTTGTAAAAAATTACATCATTACTATTCTTAAGATATTAATGGTTATATAAAAGATCATTTAAATAATCTGTAGATAATAAAATACCTAAATAATTATATATTTAATAGTTTGAGTATAATTGTAAATATTAATATCATTTTCTTTATAAATATATATATATATATTTATAATTTTATAATATTTTCATTTAAAAAAATTTTCATTATTTTTATATCATAAAATGAAGTGTATAAAAAATTATGACTACTGAAAAAAAAAAAAAAAAATAAAGTAAAATAAATAAGTAAAATATATTTTAAGGTTAGGTATTATTAATGTTCTTGTTATATTTTTTTATAATTTTTATTGAAAACAACATGAAAGTAAATTTTCCAGAGATTCTCATTGTTAATATTTTAATTTTATATAAAAGTAGTTTACTTTGAAAATAATATATCGTAATAATTTTTATGTATTCATTTATTTTTTTTTTTTTATGATATTAAAATAAATGAAATATATAAAAACATATAAAATTAAAATCTTATACTTTCATATATAAATAATCTAATACGTTCTGAAAATTTAAATTATGGAATCGATTTTTTTTTTTTTTTTTTTTTCAAGCCATATTAAATACAAAATTTACAAGAGATTTATATCTTCTTTGGAATGAATGTAATGAATACAAAAAGTATATATTCTCTATATAAAATTAGTTCAACACATTAATAATATATTATGATAATGCAATAGTATGTAATTTTTATAAGAAATGGAGAATAGGATATAATATAGAAATATAGAAATAGATAAAAATAAAAAAAAAAAAAAAAAAAACGAATATTAAAAATTAATTAAGCCTTTTTGTGTAATAAAAAATCTATCCTTTTAGAAAATTATTTATTACATAAAATAAAATCATAAAAATAATTAAAAATAAAAATTAATAACTTTTAATGAGCACTTTTATATATGTACTTCATTTTTTTTTTTAATTTAATGCCATATATTTTTATATATTTAATAAAAAAAAACAGATATAGAATAAAATAGGTTAAAATTCCATATTTTTATTTCCTTAAGCATTTCTTAATTATTATATGTCTGATAAAGAGATCTCTTTTAAGAAAATTTATATATATTATATTCATAGAATATAAAACCTAGTTTTTGTAAAACACTTGCTAATTAAGTACATTTTTTTTTTTTTTTTTTTTGTAAAAAATGAACTTAAGTTTAAGTGTTTATAACTAGTATTTAGATAAATTATACAGCTTATCAGATACATAAATTATCCTTCTATATTTTATACTATTTTAGTACTTTATAGGAAAAAAAAATAAAAAAAAAAAAATACAAAAGAAATATCACAAATTCAAATTTTATTAACGAAGTTTTCTTTTCATATACAAGTTATGCTTTGTATAAAGTAATTTTTAAAATATTATATTATATACTTGTTTTATATATGTATTTTTTTTTTTTTTTTTGGATAAAAAATGAAAAAAAATTAAGAATTATATAAAATTAAAAGAAATATAGTAATGTTTTAAAAAAGTTTCTTTTTTTTTTTTTTTTTTTTTTTTTAATTCTTATGAGCATATCTAAAAATATACAAACATTTTTTTTTTTTTTTTATAATTACAATTAATTTATTAAATGAATAAGATGTTTCCATTCTTCTGGTAACATATTTAATATAGACAAATATTTTTCATGTTTTTTTTTTTTTAAAAGTAAAACAATTTTTGTAATTTCATCCTTTCCAATGTCCTTTTTATTATCATTAATAAATTTTAAGCATTTAAGTAATATTTCGTTTTTATTTAAAATTGATAAATGATTATTTATATTCTCACTTTTACTTTTTTCTGATACTCCATTTTCATTTTCAGAACACTGAAGAAAATTTTTATCAAAATTCTGACTTTCTTTATTATTATCAAAAGAAGATACTGAAAATGGTAATAAATCTAAAAGAACAACTGAGTAAAAATAACATAAAAATTCGTTAATATTCATTTTCTCTATTTTGTTCATTAAATTAATTGCTATTTTATGTAAAATTTCTTTTTCATTATAAATGGAGTGACATAATCTTGAAAATCCTTTAGCATTAAAATTATAAATATTTTGTTTAATTATAGGTAGTAATTTATCTATATATTTATGCAAAATTTTAAATTTGAATAAACACCAAACTAATAATGATAAGTATTTATGATGAATGTTATTTATATAATAATAATTATTTAAATCCTTTTCAATTAAATTAATAAATTCTTCATCATATATACATAATTTTGATAAATTATAAAAATTCATTATTTTATGTAAAGTTGTCAGTTCGTCATATTTGTTTATCATTTCTTTTATAATTATAAATGATGCAATGTTCTCTTTAAATAAATATGCATTATTTTGTGATAAGTTATGAATTTTTAATGTTTTATTCAAATCAGTATTATTTGAGTTATTGTAATTATTTTCATCCACACTTATGTTATCATCTTCAATATTATATTTAGAATAATTATTTTTATAAGAATAATTTGAAATGACACTTAATAGATCTGTTAATTCAACAGCTGATAATAAATGCAATTGACTATCTATTTTTTCAATAACTTCGTTCATAAATTGAATGATAAAATCTTTATGAGAAATGCTTCTTTGATCTAATGGAATTTTTTTTCTAAACTTTCTCTGTTTTATATACTGAAATAAATCAGTTAAAAAAAATTTTTTATTAATATTTTCTTCACAATAAATATCAATTAGTATTTTTGTAAAAACCCTTGATATTCCAATATAATTATATAAATTTATTTTTTCTTTTATTTTATTTAAATAATTTATAATTAATCTATATATATATATATTATTTATTTTGTTTAATATATATAATGGTTCTAATATTAAGAGAACATTCTGAATACTAAAACAATCTAATCTATATTCTAAGTATTGTAATAATTGATCTATCATTTCTTTTTTTTTATCATAATAATATAAATATGAATAAATATGAAAAATATTCACTATTTGATCAGGTGTATAAGTTTTTATATGATAAATTATTTGAGATTCTACATGAGGCAAAAATACTTGATGAATAAATTCTTTTGTTATTTGTTTTTTTAGAATAACATATTTTTCATCTTTATTAGGTATTAATTTTTCATTACTTTTATCTAAAATAATATTTTTTCTTATATTCTCATTGTTTATACTTTCTGTTACCTCATTATTTTTGTTTTCTTGATATATATTTTCATTATCTACTTTTTTATTTTCATCATTTTGGTTAAATAAATGCTTTGATTGTTCATCGTTTTTAATATTTTTTTTTCTTATCAAATTTTTATATTTTTCAATTATTTCCTTACTATTATAATCTAAATTATCATCTAATTTTTTATTTTCATTATTTATTGAATTCTTTGTATTAAAATTTTTTATTAATAAGTTATTTCTTTTCGGATTAACATATTTGTTAAATATGATAAAATTTCGTGAGAATTTTTTAAAAAGTAAAATTTTCATTTGTGATGAAATTCTCATATATATAAAAAAGAAATCATAATCATTAATAATTTCAAATAATTTTAAATATTTTTTTTTTTTTTTTTTTATCTTTCTTTGAAATGCTATTCGTTTTAAAAATTAAAATTTTCTATTTCTTTAGTTCATTTTAGTATATTTTGTTTTTATATATTATTTTTATATAAGTAGCGTTTTGGTTTTGTTACATTATGCTTTGTTTATATAACTCTGTTTTATTTTATTTTTTATTATTTTCTATTATTTTCTATTATTTTTTATTATTTTTTTTTTTTTATAACAAAACATTAAAAAAAAATTACATATTAATTTATCACCTTAAAATATTATTAAAAACATAAGTTATTTTCAAGTTTTTTAAAAAAAAAAAAAAATCAAAAGAAACAAATGGTTTCACATGTGTATGTATTAGAAAAATGTATCAATATTAAATTCATGAAAATATGTATGTAAAAAAAAAAAAAAAATAAATTAAAAAAAAAAAAA